CGAGGGTCCCCGCGGCCTGGCACCGGGGAGCCGCCGGCAGCAGCACCCCGCCCGGGGGCTGCCCCGGTCTCTTTTGAGGGGGCAACAGACCCCTCTATAAGGCCGGCTCAGCCCCGAGGGGGCCCTTCTCTGCCACCACCCCGGCCCCCCGCCGCCGCCCGGGCTCTCCGGCGGCCGATCCTTGCCGGGGACCTCCGGCCCTCCCTGCAGCTCCCTCCATGAACCCCCGCCGAAGGCAGTGCTCCCACCGCCACCCCATCCCCAGGCCAAGATGGGGCCAGGTGAAGTGCCACAGGGGGATAGTAGCCCGGTTCCCCCCACGGGGCGCATCCAGGGGACAGCACCCTGTCGGGGGGCTACCCCCGGTTCTCTACACTCCGGCCCGACCCAGCCCTGGGGGAGTGGAGAGGGGGAGGCAGCCCTGGAGAAAGGGATCTGCCAAAATCCCCCGACAGCTGCCGGCCACGGCGAGCGGCCCCGGGGCCCGTAGCCCCCCGCCAGCAGCAGCCGCAGCCGGCGAGGCCTCCCGGCCGCCGAGTAGGCCGAATGCTCCTCTCCCGGCGCAGCCTTTCCCCGGAATGGGGGGGGGAGAGGGAGAAAGAGGGGGGGTTCCCCGCGGCTCGGCGGCGGCTGCCGGCGGGGAGAAGGACGGGGCCCGGCGGGATGCTCCCAGGCTCGGCCGGCGGAGGGGCAGAGGGCGCGGGGAGCGGATCGCTTCTACCGCGGCACCTTGCAGCGGGGTGCCGGCGCCTCCGACCGCCGCAGCTCTCTCTCGTCCCCGGAGCCGGGGAGGAAACAGCCGGGGCCGGCGGGCAGCTCGGAGCACAACAAAGAGAGCGGCCGAGCCGAGCTTCCCCTCGCCCTTCTCCCCTTCCGAGCTGGGAGCTTTCGGGGGAGAAGGTGCAGAAATAATCCTCTGCCCGAAGAAAAGGGGAGGAAAAGAAATAAAGGCGCAAAGTGCAAAACGCCTTGGCGCACGGCGGCCCCGGGAATCGGTAGCAAAACACCCGTGGCCGGGCCGGCCGGGAGCGAGGGCCGCGCCGTCTGACAGCTCTATCACTCCATCAATCACCCCAGTCAATCAAAGTGGCTTTTTCTGAGTTTCAAGTCGCTGGACGTGTCAATAACGGGTGATGGAGATGGCTCGGCCGATCGCGCCGCATTGACCGCCGGCGGGGGAGCCGCCAGGGCGGGCAGCGCGGAGCGGGGCCGGGACCGGGCACCGCCGCCTTCCCCGCGCCCCGGAGACACCCCCGGGGCCGGCACCGGGCAACCCACCCCAGCCCCGGGTCGGGCCGGAGGATCCCTGGCTGCTGGCCTGGGGTGTCGCGGGGGGAATTCTCTCCCCTTTCCCTCCGCTTCTTTCCAAAAAAAAAAAATTAAAAAAATACAATTAAAAATAGAAACTAACGGTGATAAAATATGGGGCTGCCGGGGACGCCGGGGAGAGGGTAAACAGCGCGGAAAGGGGCGGCAGAACGGGGCCGGGAGGGCCGAGCAGGCGGCTCTCACCGGGGCGGCCCCGGGAACAGGGGCACGTCCGTCCGTCCCCCCCCCCCCCCCC